CATCGCGGCTCCTTCCGGGCATTGTTGGATCGACGGCCTTTGGCGGGCGCCGCTCCCTGCAGCTCTACTCATAAGACGCTCGTGGGACCCCGTGGTGCGTGTTCAGGACGACCCTCAACTTCTCAATCCGCAGAGGCCGCGTGGCAGCCGAGCGAGCACGCCTGTGCCTGCGATGCCAAGCGGGCGACCGCGATCTGGCTGAAGGAGTGGTCGTGCCGACTCGCGCCTGTCCAAGCGCGAGCCTGGGGCGGGCTCCAGTGTCGGACTGGGGGAGGCCACGATCCGAAACGCACCGACGGGAAACGTCTCCGTCGGCTCCAGCCCACGCCCACGCCTAGGAGGACGAGGAGGAGGAGGAGGAGGAGGAGGAGAAGGAGGAGGAAGAATAGGAGGAGGAGGAGGAGGAGGACGAGGAGGAGGAGGAGGCGGACGGCGAGGAGAAGGAGGAGGCGGGCGAGGAGAATGGACCTTCAAGCGGATTACAAGCAATCGAAATTTGTAGCAAGGACGGGCGGTAAGGACGTAAGTGCCTTGGCCGCCGAAGTTGGCATTTTTTAGGCGGCGGACTGCCAACACCTTGAAGGGCTGGACAATGAAAACAGCGAAGAACGGGTCGCAGAGGCAAGGACGCAAGGGTACCCTAAAGACATCCGTTCTGTCTTACTATGAGTCTTGACTGTAGACAGCACAAGCCAGCATGGGCGTGCCATGGGGTACAGGGTACAGCCCGGCCCCCCGACCCCTCAACTGGACCCAAGGGGCCAGAGGACCCAGAGGGAGAGAGAGAGAGAGAGAGAGAACGCCGGAAAACGTCCTGGAAGGACGGCCCTATGAGAGCCCGGCGGGGGCGCCGGAGCGCCAGAAGGCTCACTCGTTGCAGTTGCCGGAGTGGAGGAAGCGACGCGTACAGTCCGAGAAGCCTTCTTCACCCAGGGGGGGGCAGGGAGGGAGAGGCGGAACCCACAGGCATGACCACGCCAACCCGTGTTTTCTACCAGAGCTGCCGTCCATGCGGCCCCAAGCACCTGCGCGCGCGCCCTGCCCCGGTCCGCTGGGAGAAGTTGCGGGGGCCGCACGCCAAGGAGGAGGAGGAGGGAGGAGGAGGAGGAGGAGGAGGAGGAGGAGGAGGAGGAGGAGGAGGCCCCGTCTCAGCGAGCTGTTGGGCGCGCAGCGCCGAAGCGCTGGGTTGGGCACCTCAACGAGCCTTTGTTTGAGCTCAGGCCGCTCGCTGGCAGAAAATGGGAGGGTATACCGATTATGCTGTATCAAGACCTCTGGCGCGCACGACGGGGCAGGACGAACGGGGGAACAAAATGGGTCAACCTCGAATCGGGAAATGCGGATCGACATGGGTTCTGCGCCAGATCGGGCCGCATCGACACGGAGTCGACATCGAATCAGATCGGCCCCGCCAGGATGGATACCAGCGCCATGCAAGCATCGGGCCGCATCGGATCGTCGTGGAGGGCCTCGAAAGACAGCCTTTGTCTGTGGACGGCGGGAGGGCCCCCAAGAGGCGGGGTGCCTCTTATGGAACGCCGCCTCCCTGGCGCGCCAACCAAAATCTACCCCTCCCGTGGTCCACCCTGGCCCCGGGCCGGCGTTTCGAGCTGCGTCCAGCCGCGCCTGCGAGGGCCTCCTCTTAGGCCGAAGCTGGCCCCGACGCGCCTGCCTCGACCTCGGCACGGAGACGTCGGGTCCTGGACGAGACGGGTGCGGTTGGGCGTCGCTCGCTGGCGGGGCGATACTCTGAGGTGGGGGTAATGAAACATGCACTTTTCGGGTCGTGAAGGCCCCCTTTTGGGCCCAAAGGGCCCCTTCTGAGAGCCCTTTTCTGCCACCTTCTGCCCTAGATAAAGGGCCCTAGATAAAGCCCTAGATAAAAGGGCCCTAGATACTGTCCCCGCGACACCTCAAAGCGAAACTATCAACTTTTTCCGAGCGGTTCGCTTTCGATTTCGCTTTCTTAACTATTAACTTGTTCGGGGGAGCTTCGCTTTCGCTTTCGCTTTCCTAACAATTAACTATTATTTTCTGCGCTTCGCTTAGTCATTCCCGCCGTCGCCTGAACTTGTCCCTTGCGGCCGTGCCTTCACCTAATTATGAATCGCGCGCCCACTGGGATTCAATGGTTTCGGTACGGAAGGCACGTAGTATGTAAGATGTGGCAACAGTCCAACCACACTCTCATGCTCCGTCAAATTCGTATTGCATTCGATTTTTTCTCCGAAGCATCTTTACCCAAACCATATGATATTATGCTGGCTGCTGTTGCCCAGCGTGGGCCTTCAATAGTGGTTCTTTGGTTCCTAGCAATGCCCGTGGGGAAACCTATGTCGTGCAATATATGAGATGCGAGCTACGTGGTGCAATCTACGTGGTGCCATCAAGGTTGTGCGACACATGTGGTGCGATGTATGTGGTTCAATGTATGTAGCGCAACCTATGTGGTGCAAGATGCGTGGTGCGATGTATATGGACGTACATGTATATGTTCCGGCTGAAGCAGGCGCACGTATATGTTCGCATGGTAAACATTTAAAATCAGAATGTGTCCCCTGCCCTCCTTGATATCTTTGATCCTTTTTTGCTCAGGGGTCAGCGAGACAACGTCCAACACCTTTTGCTTCTTCTCGGGGGTGGCGCCAGGAGGTTCCCCGAACATGGCTGCAATCGCCCTGCGGCGAGCAGCGCCCGAGGAAGAGGCCGACATGCTTCCAAAGGTACGTCGGAACCGTGGCAAGGAAAAATCAGGGTCGCCAGCTGGAATGCGACGCTTCCTTGGGCCTGAAGGCGAGAACGAGCACGAGGCCAATCATTTGCATTGATAGCGGTAGTAACGCGACCGATAACATTACGAAACGAACAATAAGGACAACCAGACATCAACCCAACTCACGGTATACATTATGTTGTTATTACGTTTCGTTCACGTTTAAACAAAAACATCCTAATATTCCAATATGGTGTCATACCCGCATCCAGTATTACTATTAAATGGATTCTGCGTTATGACGGTAACGTGCCGTACGCAACGATGCCCATATTCATGCGGATATGCGCAACGTCGTGAACATTCGTGCAATAAACAAACTGCGGTGAAAAAAACAATAGTACTGCTTTTGATCAGACAATACACGTAGCGGGGAATACGACCACGATTACCAACGCGAAATAATAAGAAAAAATCACAAAATAGCTGCGCGAATATGACAACATCTGTGTTGGCTCACAGGATTCGCACAAAAATGAAATCATATGGGCAATGCCAATTCCAGTATTTCAGGTTGGCCTTTGGCAATATAACTTGGTATGTCGCGTCCGTTTTCGGAATTGCAGTCTGAATCGCATTCGCACTTGAATCGCGCGCTCATCCTGGTTATCATGCGCATGTGATTCCGCTTTGTGACAGCACTCCCTGGTTTTTTCTGGTGCGCGTGACATCGCGCTGCTCTGCCAACGCGATAGATCAGGACGTGGAATGCACGAACGGACCATGCTGCTACCACGCGGAGATCCTAACTTCAACCTTGCGTCTTCTCGGCGCTTTCGCTTTCTCGCTAACTAACTTCGCCCGGTGCGGCCTCGTCGTCTTTCGTAACTAACTTGTCGGGCCCGAAGCTCGCCGTCTTCTGAGTTTCGCTTTGACGTGTCGCGAGGACAGTAAAGGAGCCCCTTCTAAGGGCCCCTTCTAAGAGCCCTAGATAGAGGACCACTTTTCTGCAGCCCTCGACGCCCCCTCGTTAATCGCCCCCCCATGACGCGACGCCCAGCCCTGGACTCCAGGGCTCTCTCTGGAGGCAACTCCTCGCCTCGAGTCGCTTCGTCGACGGCCCTGGAAGCGGGGGGCCCGGGGAGGGCCCCTGGAGGCCGAAAGCGGCGAAGAGCCCGCACACCTTGGGTGAACGAACATCGTGTATGGCCGCGCCGATTTCGTGGCGTTGCCAACTTGCGGCGGTCACACACCCGTGTTGGCGGGCATGCTGCGTGACCCCTCTCGGGAACCCTCAGCAGCCCAACGGGGCCGATGTGACCCCCTGGTGGCCCTGTGACCCCGCGGGACCGTGTGGCCCCGTGCTGGCCGTGACCGCCGCTCCAATGCGGAGCCTCTGTGAAGCGAGCCACAAAAAGGACGGCAGCATGTCTGGGCTTGCTCCACCCTGCACCGCACTGCAGCCGCGGCTCGGCCGCCCGGAGCGCCCCCCCCTGCGGCCTCGCCGCGTGAGTGCGCCGCCTCTTCCCTCCTCCCGCCTCTGCGGCCGCTCCTCATCTTCTCCCCCCTTTTGCATGCAGGACAATTCGCAACACCGCAGCCAGCGTTGTCTGCACGCGCGGGCGCAGTGCCTGTGCCGCGCTGCGACGGAAATCCGCCTGGCGAAGGACCCAACCGTAAGCAGTTGTGAGTAACGCAGTTGTGAATATCGTCTTCGGTGGAGCTCCCTATGGGGCCACGAAGTGTGTGAGGGGTGCCGAAATGGGCGGCGGGGACGCGCGTGGGCACTGCCACTGGGACACTCGGTTGAGCTTCCTATGTGGCCACGGAGCGTGTGAAGGGTGCGCCGAAATGGGTTGCGGGGGCGCTTGTGGACTGCGCCACTGGGGCCTTCGGTGGCGCTCACCACGGGCCACGAAGCGTGTGAGAGGTGTGCCGAAATGGGGGGGCCTTCGGTCGAGCTTCCTATGGGGCCACGAAACGTGTGAGGGGCGTGCTGGCATGGGTGGCGGGGACGCATGCGGGCTGCGTCACTGGGACACTCGGTAGAGTTCCTAGGGGGCCACGAAACGTGTGACGGGTGTGCCGAAATACGTAATCAGCAGGGACGCGTGCGGGCTGCGCCACGGGGGCCCTCGGTTGAGCTGCTAGTGGGGGCCACGAAACGTGTGAGGGGTGTCGGGAGAAGGGAGGGGGAGGAGGAGGATAGGAGGAAGGAAGGAACGCGGGGCACTGTGTGTTCAAAACGAAGACCCGACACCGCAGGATGGTTGCTCCATGGCGAGGCTCCTCCTCCGTGGCGGAGCCGTCGGCCGCGGCAGGCCCGGCGCCCGGCCGCGGCGGCAGCACGGACTCGAAGGGGCCCAAGTCATCCTCGGGCTCTGGCCCGCGCGCGGGCGGCAGCACGGACTCGAAAGGCCCCAGGTCGTCGGCCGGGTCGGGGTCGGAGCGCCTCGGCGGTCTGGCGGCAGGTCGGTGGGTTTTTTTCGATCTCGGCTGTTCCTTCGGTTCGGCCTCCAGGAGGACCGTTGTCGGGACCCGGGGGCATCAAACACAGACCCAGGGCGACAAACCGGCCTCGGGGAAGGGGTCGGGACTTCTGGGGCCGCAGATTAAACAAATCCGCCGACCGCTTGGGTTTCATCGGCGTGTGAGATGACCCCTCCCCCAGGAGCCCGGTCCTGTCGATTTGGAGGGGGGGAGTCTACCTGGGCCGGCCAGTTTGAAGGGGGTTGGGAGAGCCAACCATACGCTTCGCCTAAGGCGAAGCCCATATCCAACTCTGTTTCACCGTGGTAACGATAGCCCCAGAAGTCGGAGATCGTCGCGGGATCGACGGGCCATGTCAAGCGATGATATTTTCGGTCCCACTGGCGAATACTGTGCGTCGCGATGAGGCACAGTCATATGTTGGCGGCCAGCCGCTTGAGCCCAAACGGCCGCGGACAAACGCTCGCTATCTCTGAGTGAGCGCGTTTCACGGGCGCTCGCCTTGGGAACATTCGGCGGCGCGTTTCGAACCGGGGGTGGGCCCCCCCAACACTCGGCGCCGTCGATCAAAACCAGGGGCCCCCCCCTCCCCCTCAAAACCCGCCCCCCTCCCGAACCCTCCCCCCTCCCAAAGGGGATTTGAAACCCCCCCCACCCCGCCCGGCGCCGGCGCCGGCGGCCGCCAGCAGCGCCGAAGGCGGGGACGCAGCGACGATGACCACAGGCAGCACAGGCGGGGGGGGTTCGACCCCCCCCCACCGCCGTCTGGCGCCGGCGCCGGCGCTGGCGGCGGTCAGCAGCGCCGGCGCTGGTGCCGGCGACAGCGGGGACGCAGCGACGATAACCACCACGACCACCACCACCACCACTACCACCACCACCACCACCGCCTCAACCCACCACCACCACCACCACCAACCCACCACACAACCACCACCACCACTACAACCACCACCACCACAACCACCACCACCACAACTCACCACCACCACCACCCCATCAAAACCCACCACCACTACCACCACCACCACAAATTACAACGCCACCACCACCACCGCCACAACCACCACCACTACCAGCAGCACAACCCACCACCACCATCACAAACCACCACACCACCACCACCGCCACCACCACCAGCCCCACCTCCACAAGCCACCAACACCACCACAAACCACCACCACACCACCACCAAACCATTACCACCACCACCACCACAAACCACCACCACACCACCACACCACCACCACCAAACCACTACCACCACTACCACCACCACAAACCACCACCACAAACCACCACACCACCACCACCACAACCACCACCACCGCCACCACCACCACCGCCACCACAAACCACCACAACCCACCACCACCACAGTCGTCCTCGTCGACCCTCCCCGCCGCCGCCGCCCGCCGCCGCAGGCGCCGGCGCCGGCCCAGAAAAAAAAATCGTCGCCCCCGCCGCCGCCGCCGCCAGCCGAGGAGCTGGAGAGAGGAGAAGTAAGGGAGGGGGGGGGGGCTCGACCCCCCCCCATCCAGGGGAGGGGGGGGTCCGGTTCCGCGCGCCCCCCCTCCTCCAAGCGACCACAGAACGAGCTCTTTCCCATCTATCACCTTTGCCCCAGCCTCCTTTGCAGTCGGGGGGGGGGAGGAGACGAAGCGTGAGTCCGCCGCCCGCTATGCAGCAAAACACGATATGCACAAGGCAAGCAGCAGCACGCGGGATCAACAAGGAAGGTTGGCCCGCACGCAAGTACCCAAGCAAGCAAGTTGCCTCGCAGGCAAGTCACCTTGCAGACGATTGCTCCTCAGGTGGCTCAGACGATCTTGTCTGGCCAGCACTTTATGGAGTGTGTCGTTTTTTAAGTCATGCTTGAAGGATTGCGTTCCCCCCATGACCTGTAGGAGCATGTCTATGCTGTCGATGCTCCTTTTGGCGTGACCGTCCGCGATCGTGTCGCGAGTGTCGCACTACTGCGCACAATGCACGATACCTCGCTCCATCATCTGTCGTGCCCAACTGATGCGTCCCAAAATTGTAAGCTCAAGTCGGTTTCTTCAGGGATGCGCTTGACAATGACTTAAAGACATATTCAGCATCGTTGGTCAAACTGACCTTAATTCTCAGGCCGCCCATCTCAAGTATATGTTTCAACTGAGGTGGGTGTCAGCGGTCCTCCGTGGAGTTCATGCAGAATGACGATCGCGGGAAAGCAGTCCCCCAACCTGTGGGCTGCTGATATGTTTCCGCTGAATAGCTCGAGCGGACCTGCGAGCGGTGAAACTTGCAATACGCGTCGACAATATGGACGACGGGCATGCCAGCATGTGTATGTCCACGCCGTTGCAGGTTTGTCCCGCGAATACTATAGCCTTTGACCTCGTCCTCAGCATCTCCGCCTAGACGCCGGTAACCGGAGTCGCTGCGCAAGTCGACCTAGCCCGTTGGAGTCATCGATTTCTAGACGATCTTCTTAGGGCAAGCCTGCAACTTTCTGGCAATCGTCGCACTGGCATGTTGGTCGGTTCTTGGACACGCTGTAGAGATGCAACATATCCCATTAACCATACCTGTGTGATTAGGGCGTGAGTCGAAGCGCCTCTGACGCTGACAGACATGCCGGTGACCATCTTCGATGCCTTGGCGTCGGCGGCTGCGCCCGTGAGTTCTGGATGTTGTAGGACGAAACAATTGCATCTAATCGTCTTGATCAAGTGTAACGTTACCGCCCCCATCCTTTATGCACCTCACATCACAATTGTTATGTGTGTGTTCGTTGAGTTTACATTTGCCAATCATATGGTCGACGCATTTGACGTACCTGTCAACAGTGTCCTCAGTACCGGCCATGTTAATGTCATCGACGTGCTTGGCTGTAAGAAGTTTGGAGATCGTCTCGAACTCCTTGTCGTAGGACGTGGGTCTGAGACCAAGCCCTCGTGGTCTTTCTGAGCTTCAGTGAGAAGGCTCATAGTGGGTCCTTGGTGCCGGTCCCTGGTTTGAGGCGCGGCAGGCCGCACTTCGACTCATCGTAGTGCTCAAATCCTGGACGGGGTCGAAGCGCAGATGCTGCCCCAGGAAGCAGTGTAAAGCACGCAACACGTTCCTTTCCACCGGTTGCTGCAGCAAGATCCTGATAGGTGAGTCCTTTCAGGAAAGCCATGTTGACGCCATGGGAAGCAATGGCCCATTGCTTATTGCACGCTGCCGTGTTCGCGAGGAGTCTCAGACTCGACCGCCGCGCCGTTCCTGGGAAAGCTTCCGCGTCGAGGGCTTCGAGGCCCATAAACACCCCGACGCACCAAGCGTACTCTACTGGTACGTTCCATCTCGCCCTTCTCGTCCATGACAAATTTCCACTTTTATACTTATCTCGAAGTCATGATGTTTGACGCCTGTGATAGATCTTGTAGCTTTAAGCACTTGCTGTCAAATCATGTCTTGAGCTCAGTATGCAGGACTGTAGATGCCTTGACTGGATTCGCTTGGATGTCGGCCTACGCGAGGAGGTCGTCCTCCTTGACGACGACAGCTCATTTAGCTGCAGCAGTCGCATAAACTCGCGTAGTGGTCACGCGGCGGCCGAAGCCCAGCATCCTGCGCTGTTGTTCGGATAGGACTACTTTGGACATATATGCAGCGGAGCAGAATTCTACATATTGCTCGCGCTCGTCAGAATCAAATCCATAACTGTCGTCTTCGTCCGTGGAGCACAGTGGGACATGATATGTCTCCGTTGTCTCTATTTCCCGTGGATTACCCCGCGTAGCCAGGTGCCCCCGCTGTTCCTCAGCTACTGTGACCAGCGCGCTGTTGTCGGTGATCATCTGTGTGGGTACAGTGTAAAGGTCGTCTTTTGGAGACGCCTCCAGTAATTACCCTTCGCGCTGCAGTTTTGCGTGCCACACTTTTATAATATGTGCCTCGAGGTCCGCTTCTGATTCCTCATAAACGGCGGGGGGCCGTCCATCTTCCTGCGGTGGTTCGGCTTCTGGGGCTTCTCTGGCGTCGCTGTCTTGTGTCGGTGCGTCAGCCAGTTCTTCCAACTTCGTCACGTCGTGGTCGAAGCCCGCTTGAGGTTTGGTGGACTTCAGGCACTGGATGGCCCTAGAATGTGCTGATCCAGTTATATCGTATATGCTTAAAGCAATGCCTTCGGCTTCGTAATAGTGAAGCCTGGGTTCACGCCGTCGCCATTATGCACCAATGTACAACTGGCAGCATAAGCTAAGCCACCGGAGGTAGATTGTGAATACCCCTAGCTAGCCTGACAGAGATAACGTTCTCAATGCGAAAGAAATTCCCGATGAGGCATTGAAGAACTAAATGTGCTTTAGGAGATAGTCGGCTCGCACATGCCATCTGGAGCATTCCCTTTCCCTTTTTTGGTCGGGATGTAACCAAATGTCATTGCAGGTCGCCCCGCAGGTAGACCGGCTACGACTGTCAACACAGTCCGTAGCGATGTGTTGTCCGGGCCAATTTCTCGAGCGATCAAACCTTCGATCTGTAGTGCATGTCGCGCGTCGCCGCGTTGGGCTTGTACATCGCGGTTCCCCACTCCGATGACGACTTGACCCCTGTCGGGATCGTTTCGTACGACCGGGGGAGGTCCATTCCAGCCGCCCCAGTCGTCCTTTGCAGTAGTGGGACGATTCTAGTCAACCAGGTCTCCTTCGTCATAGTAATGCTGACCAGTGATAGTAGTTATGGTCCGTAGTAGACGATTTGTTATCGCTGCTGCAGTGGCTTGAAGAATAGCCGCATTGCTTACTCGGCGGATAGTCTGTTCTCGAAAATGGTCGGATGTTCCTGTCTGCTGTTCGTCGTCCAGAACAGACAAGTCGGGTAGCGTCGCTGGTTGCCGTCCAAACAGTACGCTACATGGGGGTACCTCATTACAAAAGGTGAAAGCGTTGGCGGGAAATCAAGCTTCACGCAGTAGACGTGCGAACACAA